CGCGTTTATGTTGAAGAAAAGGCGTTTTTCGACGTTTCAGTATTCGTCCAGTTTTACCGTGAAATGTATAACGCTGTATCTGAAGTAAGCGCACGTAAAGTGTCGCTAGCATATCGTATTGCACGAGTGAAGTGGGTGTCAAGTTTGAAAATCTGTTTCAATGGACAGTCACACCAAATGACTTCACTATATCTACACTTGCAGTGGCAATGTATATTCTAACTTTTAAACATTAAAGGTACCCTTTGTCGAATTAATGTAGTAAGAAACTTATTGCTTGTATATGACTAGGCTCGGCATCGCCAGGTGGTTAGGGAGCTCGACTCGCAATATGAGTGTAGCGGGTTCGAATCCCCGTCACACCAAATATGCTCGCCCTTTCAGCCGTGAGGGCGTTATAACGTGACGGTGCCTTCCCTCTAGTCTTGCACTGCTAAATTAGGAACGGCTAGCGCAGATAGCCCTCGTGTAGCTTTGCGCGAAATTCAAAAACAAACAAATAAACTTTTAACCTGTATGTTTTTGGTTAAGAAATAATAATAAATAATTTATTAGCAAATGAACTTCTATGAATCTCTCAAGGGAAAATTATTTAATAAGATATATCCAATAAAATAGTTTCATGTTTGTATTTTAAACTGATTGTTTCTATGCTGCAAATAGGTTATTGATATAATGTCGTTGATATATGAATATGAATGCATACTCAGAACTCAAAAATCCATAATTCAATACTAACTGTGTTCGTGAAAAACTAAGTTTTCACTATTTCTGAGCAGTCAGAATAACACCAATTTTTCTGTAGATCAGTGACATTGTTGGCTGAAATGCAACCCCAAACTTGTACTGATCCCCCAGCACGTGCAGATGTTCTAAATTGGCAAAGATACTTTTCTTATATCTGCTATCGAACGAACTGTTCCACATATTTGAAATTAGTCTGTAAAAATTACGTTTCTGTCTTTACTCATTCCACTGCCTGTGGTCTAGTGCCTGTTTCAATTTTCTGGTTTAGTTACTTCTTCTCAGCAGTGGTTCTTGAACATATACAAGTCTATTAAAACTATTTTATGTTAATATGTATCCCACTGTTCTCAAGGTAGTCTTCATATTTATATTTGCGGCAAGGGTGAGGTTGGTGATAATATCTTTATTTGACCACCCTCTATCTCATAAACGACATACCCTGAGATACTTAGCATCGCTTTTGTATAGGTTCGGTTTTCTACCTTGACCAAGTACATTATTAACAGTGACAGTTTCTCGTAACCTCCTCAAGAGTCTTACATACAATTCCTACTAAAACCTGGAATCTTGCTAGAAATGTTCGCGTGAAGTAGCCTTGACAAGCTAAAATTTTGACTTATTCGTGTTTGCCATGTGGTATTATGGTCTTGCCAGTCAAGAATGAATTCACTACTACTACTGTGCATAATATGACTGTCTGTACTTGTATAGGCTTTAAACTGGCGTAGCACTTTCTAATTGGTTTTATGGCATCCAATGACAAAGTAAACTATCAACATATGATTGGAAGATATTTCTAAGCGATAAATGAGTGGCTTTTCCGTAGTATTTGCATTCTATTTTCTCATCGTATAAATAATTATTTCCAATTCTGTATGTTACTATATTTAGCTACTAGCTACAGGGCCATATGAGTAAAACAAGATACAGATTGTTATTATACATTATTTACACTAGTTATTGTTCGTTGTCATAACTTTCCACACGCGAACTTTTGATATGATATTTCATGACTGTTCTGGGTATACACAGAACTATGTTTCATGCGGCAATACGTGAACGGGCTAAATGAAAAGTACGTGGTCAGTATGTGTGTCAGTTTGGCTGATATTAAAGAAAGGGCCTTTTGAGCGCTAACCTGTAGGAGTTAAAGGATAGATGGAAAATGATATTTTTTACACACCCTTTGATTTTGAACCGACATAGAAAACTTAAGACGAATCCAGAAAAAAATATCTGAACATTACATGACTTATCACAAATTTTAGGCCTATTGGTTTTTAATGTATTAATATAGTTCTATTTAAATTAGATACTAAACACGTAATTAAAATGAATTAAAGTATGTTAAAATATATATTTATGGGTTGCTATTAACTGGTACAGTAATTAAACAAACATCTATTATGAGAGCTATATTAACTTTGTGAACTGTTAGAAACCAGAAATATTTAGAAACGTGGAAAAAATTATATAAACGTACTTGAAGCCCAATGGCGGCTTTCATTATCAATTTAGGCTTATCTCCGTCTGCACTAAATCTTTCCGAGCATCAAGCCTCTACTAGTTGTATCCTAGCAATCAGCGGTATGGCATGTTGGCGCACTTACTATATTTATCAACTTTATTGCAGCCTGAAACTAAATGAAAATTATAACAACCATCTTGTCTGATTTAAAGATATGATATTTTATCGCTCATTGCTCATCAACTTCCAGAAAACGACGATTTACAGCACGTGAGGGAGAAGGGGGAGGGGAGACTACAGTAGTGGAATATTCAACAGAGGAGTACTTCTAATTCTGAACGAATATCTTAAGAATAATTAATTCTAATGTATGATGTCGCTGTGTGTTATTTTATAAGATCATTAACAATTCAAATAACTTCATTTCTTCTATTATACTCTGTAGAATGCCCAAATGTTGATAATGCCCAAATGTATTCATGCCTTATTTGTGAACTTATTTTAGCAATCCAATTGTTCAGCAAGAACTTGAAGAGGTTAGAATAAAACTTGAAATACTTTTAGTTGTTATCGTGTTAGTTGAGCCGAAGAGATATGATAGTGATTATCTCTGACCTTATCAAGTGACATATATTAAGTTAGTATCAAGAGGAAGAAGCTGCATTTATTTCTACATCGGTGACCATGTCAAAATATAGGTTGTAAAAATACAGGTTAAGCATTAACACTGTCGCTATAGTTACGTAGTCGAGGGTCACTATCAATAAGCAGAAAGGCTCAACCGTGTTTTTGAACTGTTTCAGCAAGAGCAACGCATACAATACTTATGAGTTAAACGTACCACTTTAACAACAACAAAAATCAGAATCTCATTTTAACAACAGTGTGTTTATCTCGATACGTATATATCAAATATTTTATAATATCCTTCAAGCGAGAAACCTGATTATTTGAACCAGGATTGAACGTATGTAACATTATATATATATATAATTTACATTCCTTTGTTATTAATATTAACATTTCAGTATCAAGTAAATATTCACCGTGCTACCTAATATCACATTCTTAGTCATTTATTTCTTGCTCAACGATTGACTTGTTTGACTGTTTCATAATTTTCACGTAGAATTACACAAGGGCTGTGTGCCGTTTCTAATTTTGAACTGAGAAACTAGAGGGAAGGTATGTCAACAACACACACCGCCAGGTCCAGGGCTATTTTTTTCTGTCCAGATAGTGAGATTTTACTATTATAAAGTACCCAAGGACCATAAATCCTCAAACTCATAGTCCGGTCAGAAAAGCCCTATTAGTTTAACTGTGAAGTTTGTTACCAACATTGTCAAATAACACAGATCCACAAAATATCGGGATAACGTTACAAGTGTTGCAAGTAGTAAGGTTGTGACGTGTGAATATCATTCAATGCCAAGGTTATACAATACCTAAATTACTCGTTTTTTTATTACTACATCTGTCGTTAACTTCATGGAAGCCCTGTGAAGGACATTATTTATAGTGGTAATAGCCAGGAGTCGATCCTGGATCTTCTTCATAGAAAGTTTGTTATGCTACCTACTCTTGTTAGAAATGTTAATTAAATTAATTCAATTAAATATTTGAATGGTTTCAGAAAAACAGTATATTAAAAACAATAAGAAGGCCTAGTTATGGACTCAGCCGTATTGTTAGTCCTTCATAATCTCTCTATGGAACATTTCGAACAGCCACTCTGAGACCCAGGATTTGGCTAAACTTCGTTGACAGTATACTCATAATATGGCCACACACAATACACAAAATTCCAGAACTAATGGGCCACCTGAACACACAACATCCAGAGATACAATTCACAACAGAAATAGAAAAAAATACTTCAATTCTTAGACATGAGTTCCCAAGACACATTAATATATACTATAAGATTTTACAGGAAACAATCAGACACAAGTAAATACCCTCTACATTAGTAAAGAGTGGGGATTAATCTTCCAAGAAGACAATGAACTCAACCATACAAAACATGTGGTGAAAAAATATTACATATAAAATATTAGTACACTGTAAAACTTATTTGTAACAAAATTCCAAAATCTATAAAAATCTCTCTGCCTTAAATATCAAGTTGTAAATATTCGAACCGTAAATATCAAATAAATCTTTATTCCCTTATTTCGAAACATTGTAAGTGTTGTTTTAAGTTGTGTAAATTCTCTTCACTGTAAATACCAAGCTTTGGAAATCCCCGGTCCTTTAAATGTTAGGTTCGATAAATCCTCAGGCTTTAAATAATGTACTTGTAACTTGATAGAGTTTATTAAAATGTCAAGGTATGTAGATCGTCTGTCTTGTAAGTATCAAATTGCGTGAGTCTTTAGTTCTTATATGAATAAAGTAATTTTTCAGTGTCTTAACGTGAAGTTTTGTATATTTTGATTTTTGTTTACTTTTATTAATGCAATCAACAAACTAAACTCGACGACTAAAGGTACGATTGGTAATTATTCAATCGGTAATCATAAGATCCGTTTATATGTGCTTATACATTGAAAAGTTGCGCGTTTTGTTCTCGAAGTTTGTAAAAGAAAGAATACTCTTCCAAACACTAAGAATGCTGTTTTTATTCTGTTTAAAATTTCAGAGATGGTCTTTTCGACGTGACCTATATTCGATGAGATTTATATTATAAAATCATTTTATTTAAAACTGTTAATAATGACTAAAGCAAATAATAAAACATTTGTATAAGTAGCTTATGTCTACCTTTGTGGTTCCTGCTTACCTGATAACAAGGATGGTGTAGAGAGTTGCTTGTGATATACAACTTGATAACAGACAGACGGACAGTCCGTAGTGCGCTGAAGTTCTCGACCACACTTTCTCCGAGTTTTATATACAGTTCGCACCCACGTACACATAAGCTCACGCCACCTGGTAACGTTTGGAACCTAGGCGTCGGTTTCAAGACATGCGCAGAGAGTGAGACTGGTAGGTGGTTGTTGTCTATGTGGCTACTTATCTGCATCTTCTTTCAACATCAAAAGTTGCGTATATTGTACTTATGTTTTCTATTTTCAAATGTTTGATGTCACACACTCAGAGGTAGATGTATGTATGTATATATAGAGAGAGATATAGATGTGGGTGAGAGTGGGGGTACTTTCGGTTTATTTTTGTTTTTCTTACCTGATCACAAGTATAATTTCACATAAATGATATAAGATTTTATCATCTTTTGCTTCGCCATTTTGAAATGATTTTTCTTTTCAGACATCAGTGTAATTATATTTATAGAATGGCGTGAATTATTCTTGTATATATAGGCCTTCTGGTGAAGTAGGTAATGGTTATAAGTTTCTTATTAAAAACTATAATTGCTTATAACTTGTATCTTTCAAATCGTCATGTGAGGAATACTTCTGCTACTATTTCAATTTCACAAGCCAGTAAAATACAGTCCAGCATTTTATTGTATACAGCTTGTTGTATAGCATTAGGGTTGAGTTAGGGAACTTGTTAATTTATAACAAGATAAAAGCTGGATGTCGAATGTACAAGACTTTATGACCTAAACAGTTAGTTTATGAAGAATGCTAATCGTACTTTTTAAGAACTGTCTCGCCCCCAGTGGCACAGCAGTATGTCTGTAGACTTCTGCTGCTATAAACTGGGTTTCGATACCCGTGGTGAGCAGAGCACAGATAGCTCTTTGTGTAGCTTTGTGCTTAATTACAAACAATATCAAGAACTGTCTCCACCGAGCTCATTATTTTGACCAGGATTACGTTGTGTTACCCGACATGACAGCTTCATAATAACAGGCTTTTGCAAAGGACATCGAGGTGAACATTGCACTACCCGTCTTGATGAAACGTTCCACGGACCCTTCACTGTACGAAGACATCGGCTTCCAAGACCAAGTTTAAGCAGAGTAAAGTCCTTTGGAGTAGCGTCAAGGGGAATAGGTAGGTGTGTGGTTGAATGGGATTGCTGTGAATCCCGTTTTCTTGACTATCATTACTGTGAAAACAGACGTTGATTTCGACGTGTGGATGAGAACCTGTGATCTTTGGCTTGTGAGTTTTCGTCACCATTTCCTTGTTTGCAGTTAGATGTTTTTAATCAGGAGATTCTCTTTCTTTACCACATTGTTTCCTTTGCAGATGAGGGATTGATTCAGATAACATGATGGTCCGGTGTCGAAGGCTTTAGCTGTCCTAAACACTCTTAATTGTTGGTTCCCCGCTTCCACGAAAACCACTAACGACTATTTTTCAAAATCTTATGTTCTTTGACTTTACATCGTTTCACAAACTCCTCAGTCGTAATCCTACCTCAGCGTTATTTCACTTTTAAACGGTCGGAAATTCACCGTGAACCAAATATATAGTTGCTAAACGTGTCTTTCGAGACACCACGTTTCACATTTGTAGTGAGACTCCAGTGCATTAGCACATACAAATTGTTTTTATTTATAAAGTGCAATTAATTTTGCGTCAGTAAACTCCGAGTTTTGTTAATAAACTCGTAAGTAGAACAATATTAAACATATAATTCGTCACACACACACATATATATATACATTAATGCCATTTTGTTTCTGTAAAAAACCACAGACAAATACAGTGATACGTAGATACGTTAAAGTATTTTACCTTCATATTCCATAACATCTACATAAGGTACGGCAAGGATTATAGATTTTAATTCAGTTCCAGTTTATCTTGATAATCCTGTATGTATATTTTAAACTGCAGTTTAATATAAACCTAATCAAAATACAATTATGCAAAACCCTATTAACACGCATGCAAAGTAACCTACAATACACAAAATAATCAAACATAATAGAAGTCAAAATCATGAAACTACTAATTTACAACCTACAATACACAAATAATCAAACATAATAGAAGTCAAAATCATGAAACTAATTTACAACATACAATACACAAATAATCAAACATAATAGAAGTCAAAATCATGAAACTACTAATTTACAACATACAATACAAAAATAATCAAACATAATAGAAGTCAAAATCAGGAAACAGCTAATTTGCAACATACAATACACGAAATAAAACTTAGTACGTTAAGCAACTGACAATAAAAATAGCCCAACATTTAGTTCAGTGTGATAAACATCAACTAAACAGTGCTGTTCAAAGACGACAAAAGAAAACAGATATTAAACCTAGTGAAATGAATAAGATAAAACTCAACATTTCAGCAAAAAAGAGGAGTGTATCTATCAATATACAAACACATGGAATATTGGTATGAACTGGAATACAGGAGAATATTTTTCTTGTACAAATACAGATATAGAAGCAGAAACACGCATCATGAACATAAAGAAAATGTTGGAATGAACTGGAATACAAGAGAACATTTTTCTTGTACAAATACAGATATAGAAGTAGAAACACGCACCATGAACATAAAGAAAATGTTGGAATGAACTGGAATACAAGAGAACATTTTTCATGTACAAATACAGATATAGAAGTAGAAACACGCATCATGAACATAAAAAACCATTGATATAGTTGTCAGCAATGGTGATCATGAAAATCAAATACAATTGTAAAACATAAAACACCTATTAGAATAATAATAATACAGTTTACAATAATGCACGAAAACAAACGAAAATATTTTTACTTAGGATTGAGTTAAAACTTTAGAGTTTATAGTAAACAAAAAACAACTCATCAACTATAAATCCAATACACAGGTAATACAGGTACAAAATCAAAATCATAATAGGTGAGATACCGAGTAATCAAAGAACATAAAACAGTGAAACCCTTTACATATGTATCGGTTCCCGGTGGGACAGCGGTAAGCCTACGGACTTATAACGTTTAAATCCGAGGTTCGATACCTCGCGGTGGACACAGCAGATAGCCAAATGTAGTTTTGCTGGAAAAAACAAACAATATCGACTATTAATCAATATAATACAACTCGGGTTAAATAATACACAGTTTGCAAAGCATTAGAGGACTACGGTAATAAAAATAAATAACAAAGAAAAAAGGGCGTAACATAATCTGCGATTAACAGTCAAATCTATATGTAAAACATAAAAAATTAAGTAGAAATAAATTACAAATTAACGGCGGAATTGAGAGAAACATGATTTGGCATAATCAGCTCATAACTTCATTAAGAACACAGAATCACTTAAGAGAAAATACAAAGGCAGAAAATTCTGTAAAATATCGACATTAACGTGCTGATGTTGTTGGATCGTGATAGCTTGAAGTCAACAAGAAACATTTCAAGAGCTGTTGATGACCAATATCCAGCCTGGAATGAAGTAAGGATGGCAGTTGTGACATAATAACGATCTTTCTAGGCTTTGGTCAATGTTTCTCTAATGGTCTGCAACTTTGCAGTGACCTCATTCAGTTCTCTTTTTTTGATTACCTTCCTCTCTGCCATTCTTCTTCAGATGGCCCTGGTCTCTGTCCACCTGGCTATTTAGGGTCATTTATAATGATGATGCCACATCTTCAGAGTCTTTAAGTCAAGGTTGTTTGCGAGTTTCAATAGTAGAATTCAGAGCAACTTCTGGTACGGATTCAGAGAGTTACACCATTCTCCAACGTTTACCAACTAGATTGTAATGTATCTATATTTTGTCTTTCTGATATTGTTAATAGATCTGACTAACTCTATACTAAGGGAGCTTATATGGCTAAACTCACAATAAAGTAGTCTAGATCTAACTATCGAACCTCATTTTCAACGCGTATTAATACCCCGACAGAGGTCTAGAACGTTTGTTTGTTTGTTTTTGAATTTCGCGCAAAGATACACGAGGGTTATCTGTGCTAGCCGTCCCTGATTTAGTAGTGTAAGACTAGAGGGAAGACAGCTAGTCATCACCACCCACCGCCAACTCTTGGGCTACTCTTTTAGCAACGAATAGTGGGATTGACCGTCACGTTATAACGCCCCCATGGCTGAAAGGGCGAGCATGTTTAGTGGGACGGGGATTCGAACCCACGACCCTCAGATTGCGAGTCGAGCGCCCTAACCACTTGGCGAGGTCTAGAACGTTACACTCACTACTAGATCATATGATGCACTAATACTTAATAAAAGGAATGATAAAAATTCAGAAGGTTCTAGCAATATGACGCAATGATATAACTATTACCAATTCTCAACTATTAAACTACACAACGTATGGTTCGTAAACAGTTACGTAAACAAACCTGCGATAAACTATCGCTTCTAAAAATAACTAAATTTAACACTCGCGCTATATAAACTATTTAAATCATAACACTCGCATTAAACGGAAACAGTCGTGTATATTTAACAATTGAGGAATCTACAGGACGGCTTGAAGCTCCAAACATGGAATCAAGTCTGGCCTGATTCTACTTTCGAGTATTGGTTTATAATGAAAAATGAAGCAAGCTGTGCACTGAAAAATAGGAGTTATGTACAATCTGTTTACCAAGATAGAAAAATGGGCTCAATCTTTGGCTATTGCTGGCCTTAACTGGCTTCACAACATCACCTACATGCATTGGTTTCACTGACTGAAGATAGAAAGTCATAGTAACACGTCTAGAGCTTCTCTTTCCTGTGGACCAGAATCAGATGGAGAACTAATTACAAGGTTGCCATACAGCAGGTTTCAGGATATGCTTTGAAGACAAAGACGGTGGCAATGATGACTTGTCAAGCTGACGTTCTAACATATATCCTGGCCCAACAAACCCAAATACAACTCTGGTTGATCCCTTTGTAAACCCCATTCCCACAGCTAAGGTGGAAATATCATCCCTGCTCAACAACTTCCGGGATTATTATCTACACTACACAGTGTAACTAATTAGTTCACA